TCAACCAATTGACGCAGACGATTGATCAGGGCTTCACGCCCAACAATCGGAGTCTTTGGTGATCGCTTCTGCCCTATCTTGCTCTAGGCTTAAATCTTCGACAATTGTAATCTATTTGTTCGGGTCTTGCCGCCAACTGCGTATCGATGTCGGAGGGTTAAATGTCAAAGATCGAGGGACACTTGCCGCTTGGGAAACGTAGTTGGTACAAAAGTATAGAGTATAAGATGGGGGAAATTAAGATATGAAATTGGGAAAGGAACAACAAAATGATGAATTTTGGTGCAGAAATCACCGGATAACTTGCTACTCACAAGTAGTTAAAAGCCAACCTGAAAATTAAACTCGTTAGGTCACCTTAAACGACTAGCTCCACACTGCTCCGCTTTACTTGTTTAGCTTGAAACTAATTAAGATCTACTTGGGTGCTGTGTTTTCCAGGGACCTCGATTGTCGGACTAAGAGTCTTCACGACATTGATACAGGACGATTTTATTTGGTCAACCGATTTTTGCGGTAACGTTTGACGACAAGGCGATAGTGTTTCACTTTACGTACGACGGAGAGAACCAGCTTGGAACCGTCAGTGAATGGCACTCAGTAAAACTTGAGCAGTTAAAATAATATAGCGACTGAAATCAATCTTTTCTACGCTCACCCGGTCCACTTGTGTCTTGATACTTTGGCTTTAGATTCCCAAAAGGTAATTTGCCTAATACGGTATAGTCTCTTGAGTGCAATAGGTAAGATGTAAGCATGTTTCTTCCAAGCCTCGAAATCTTGTTGTCACACAAGGAAATATACTCACGAACTAGCTCTCTCTAAGTATCTACTGGAGAAGACCTCGTTATCTTTCTATGTTTCCAAGACTAAAATGGTCAATAACCAAAAAATAGGGTTATATGCCGGTTGACAAGTCATCTAGGAAAGATGAGGACCCTTGGTTACAAGATTCCAAACCACAGACCCCGGAACATCCTGGTCGCGGAAACCGTTGCAGTATGACGGAAGGCAAGAAAAAGAAATCAGCATTTTTTTGATAATCTGTAGTTCGAACACAAATTATGCAAAAGTTTGGTGTATCTCGATTCTATCCATCAAATAAATGCATTGATTTGTTTCAGTTGCCTGGTATGACACACGCACCGTTGCTTTCTACGTATTGTTTTCACGTGAATAGCAACTGTATACCTACTCTCCAAAACACGCTTCTCTCTTCGCTCAACAGGTAACTACAATGCAACCGTTATCGCAGTTTTATAACGGCTTAGTTGTATTTGATTTGCCCGGGAAACATACCTTTGAGAAATCACTTGTCTAGCTCTAATGGGTGCTCGCTGTAACCCTCAACAGTCGTCGGTTAAGTTGTTAATACGCGTTTAAAAGCACTGAAGGAGCGCACAGAAATATTGATAAAAATTCCAATCCCCGTTTACCACCAAAGTCGGAGTTGACTTTGGAATTTGCATTCAACATCCTAAGCGGAAGGAAAGTCACGAATAAAAGTACTAAATAGTGTCAAAGAAGTATAAACGCTGATCGTGAATTCATTCCTTCTCCAAGAACTCTGTCCTCCTGTAGATAACTAGTCAACCGGAGACCACTGTGGCATCGAAAGTCGCCCGAATGCCCGCATCATGATACGATTATTTACAGTTATCAGGAGACACTGTATCGCCCCAAACCACTCCCTCAGAAAGGTTCCACCAAAACATAATATCATAACTGTACCAGAGGTTGATATGAAGCAAATAGTTGCTTTTTGTCGTTTACTACAAGTCATTGACCAACTACCTATCAACAGAAAGAGCGATCCTTCGTGAACAGATTACGAAGTATGATATCACATTCTGTGGTACAAAGACAGTGAGAGAGGCACTAACAACTTCCATCCCCTCGCTTTATCGTCTGAAAACAAAAACCAATGGGTCTTTGTCAGGACGCGTGCGACATGCATTCGTTCCAGCAGAAGATAAAACCCATCCTACTGACCCAATCGCCTTACGGAGCTTGACTAGTTTGTGTGGATGTTAAATCCCTATTCCCAATTAATTCCTCATAGCAATATTTTTAGTGCCGTTATACCAGTTGATGAAAAATATGGCAACCGCAAAGCACAAAAGAAGAAGCACTTCGGAGGCACTTCGACAGTTCACACCCGGGGATCCAGTTATGCATTCGTATGCTGCATCTCCATATGGTACTGGTGTGGCATTGACCCAAAATGTTGATAACAGCGAAAGAAAGCCGGTTGCATTCGTATCACAGATGCCGAGCCCAGCAGAAAATAAATACACTCAGAAGAATAACAAGATTTTGGTCATTGTTTTTGGTATAATGCTCTTTCATTGTTATCCGTAGGAACAAGGTTTCAAGATCCGTTGAGATCATGGCGTTCGCATCTAGACCACACACGATCCTATTCGGAAGACAGCGAACGTGAACTCCGACCCAGTCTGAGAGTTCAACATGACTAGAAAATCCAACAAATAAATTTCGCACTTGATAACGTTCCATTTTCTGTATTTCCCCGGCCACTGTCTGACGGCAACCTCCTTCCTGATAGTTTCTTATATATTTCTCGAAGAATAAACAAAAAGAACTAACAACAAAGTATATTTATTATTCATTAAATTCGGTATAAGTCATTGTTCGGAAGGTAATGCTCGCTTTCATGGGAGGTGATGAAAATTGATAGTCAAGAGGAGACTGATTGGAAGACGGTAGTATTTGGGGTGTACGGATGTCTGATATAAGTAGTAACTCTGCGTTAGCAGACTGTCGTGTCTCTGTTGATGTATCTTGATGCTTTTTGACTTATATCATGCACTCAACTCGCACATGTAACTCCACGAAGCTGAGATATGCACCCCGGCAAAATGCTCGACAGGCGGGTCAAACCAGTTTGAGGATAACTGAGGTTTAAATGCCTTGGTGAGACGATGAACGGCCTGCCGAAGCAGCCACTTTTGAATGGGTGAACAAAATCTACTAGTGGATCCAATGACTATGAGGGAAGCCCATCCAACTAACGGGAATGTATGCACCCCTCGGTCGCAGCTATATCTATCAAATGACGAACTAACTCATAGGGAGCCACGGGAAACCAAACACCGATAATGCCGCCTCGCAGTGTGACCTCAAAATGAAACCTCAGAGGGACTCTGAAGACGTCTCGGAAAAAGCTGACATGAAACATTATGACTGTCATGAAGCCGGCTTATCCTCTCCAAGGAGCCATCCGCGAGGAAGTATAGTAAGTACTTGTTCTCACAGGTATATCGATGTCTCTATTAGTACGAACCCCGAAAAACAGCTGGAACAGGTGCCAATCACCCAATCGGGTTGACCTCCCTTGGAAACACAGACAGCAAGTGAAGCAGCTTTTTTACTGGTTAAATGATCGGAACGAATAAGGCAATCGTCGGAACCACATAAAGTTGAACAAGCCTACGATTTATACGTCAATTGTGGTGCATCTAAACAGACGCATACAACACGCACACGACTTGACTGACTGATTTTCTATCGATCGCATTGGTTAACAAATTGAGCGTTTGAGACCTTTGCTTCTTCATTAAATTTACGGACTACGAGTAACACAAACCCATTCAAACTGAGTACCACTCGGAATATAAGCAGATCAGGAACCACACACTTTATCGAAATCGTACTGACAACCAGCTACTGAAGTTCCCTATACCGAAACTTAGGAAAAAGGCCACAAATCAAGGTAATTAAATACTATTTACCAGTTTATTCTGGGTTGATCTGAAGCCATAGTGTATCATTTCCTGACGCGTTGACTCGAATCGTTGAATCACCACAATGATCTATAACGAATCAGTTGTTTCCAAACTGTGACCGTTATCCCAACTCGAAAACGATCCCCCTCCACCCATTGATTCTCTCCACACTCCAAACATGGGGTTTGAATGAAATTCATCGCACGCTTCATCAGTCGTACACCGCACTTATCTTAGCATAATTACAAACCATTCGACCATTCACTTCGTGTTTCGTTTATAGATCTCAAATGCAATGTCAGAGAGCAAGCAGGAATCGTTTTTATTTCGTGGGGAGTTCTTGTAAAAATAACCAATACAGTCGTTCCAAGAGTTCAAGTTAAAACACTAGTGTGCTTGATTCACAAAACGTCTAGTTGCGCATCCTCATTCATTACGTTGTAACATCAAATTGGCCTGGGTATTCCCAAGCCAGACCAATTTAGTGAACGCATTTTTATCGACTGACAGATTGTAATTTTTCCCTAGTACCTGACGAAAAAATCGGGCTCATATTTTTCATCAGATGTGAAGTTGATTGCTTTGCAACGCTTGATAGATAGCATTCTCTTAAACTTACTAGTTTATCTTTGGAATTGTGCTTGAAACAGCGTATTGATTGAAGTTTACTTTTTGAGAGAAAGCTTTTTTCAGACAAGCTGAATCGGTACCGATCTACTAGTTGGAGTGTGCACCCTGTTTTAGCTTTCTTCCGTGCCAGATCCTTCCCTGTCCACACACCAAGTTTATCGTACGAGAAAATCAATAGATGGTTCTGTAGACAAACTCAAAACTCTATTTCTTCTGGTTAGTTATATCACACCCATCGTAGTTGTCCTCTCCCCCCCCCCAACATGTATCAATAACATACCGATTTTTTTAAGCGACCCATGTTGACACAGCATCACGTGAGAATTATATTTCAAAAGCGTTGCAAAAATAGTCTCCCGCTGTGTTCAAACCAGTCTGAGCACGGTCTTCATACTTGCAGAGACAAACGTCACCGTAACGGAACAGACAGGTGCAGTGTTGCCCGATGGAGTTGTCAAGTGTGAGCCGGTTGAACGAGTACAAAAGATCCCGATCGATGAAATTGCGGAATTTGTGCATATTACGTCGTTTCCACGAGGATGTCATTGGAAGCATTTCAATTTTGTCGTAAGTGAAATCGTTGTTGCAGTTCCGCAGCCCAGTAATGTGGTATACACACCATTTGAGTGCCTCCATTTGACGTCTCAGGATTCCACTTTCGATAAATTCACACGTGTTGATGTCATTTTTCTCTTTGGCTAGTGCATAAAATTCACGAAGGCGCTACAATTGATTCCAATGTTGCTGATAGACAGACAGACAGAGAAATATGATAACTTACCTGTTCCATTTCACTTTCCATGTCGAAGGTCATTTGCATCAGGCGACTCATTCCTCCTTCCAAGTTGGTGGGAACTTCCATCAGTGGTTTGATGCTGTCTACCTGGAACATTCCACCGCGGATGATCAGGAATCGCAAGAAAGTTTCCATATGTTTTCGAGCTCTCAGAGAACACAAACGGAAACAGGTGCGAAATCCGCTCAGATTCATCTCACTTCCACAAACTGAACTCATGTGCAGGTAGGTACGTTCCATGGACCACCAGCGAGCAATAAGTTGGTTGAGCACCTGCTCGCATTCTTTTGGGAAATTGGAACGGGCATGCATTGTTGTTCCGGATGTGGCGTGAGACAACAGACAACTTGATTCAGTCCCGTTTAACCGGTTATTTTATACTGTTTCTGATATGGGTCAACTGAAACAAGGATAGTATAGAATCAATGTCGGAATGTGACTCATGTGACTAACGAAGCATGCACAATTGCGCGAATGCCCTCGTGTAGTACGAACTCCGTGAAGGCACATGTGAAGCAGTGGCCCTTGTGACAACTAGTTAAATGCGCAATGGAAACGCAAATCACTGATTCGGTCAATCCAATTTTCTTTCAGCAATGGGTCAGTTGGTCGGTTTTGGTTGAACAATAAATCGCAGCGTTCTGTCGGATCTTAAAAATCGATTTTCCTGCTCCTATCTTCAAAAGCAATCAATGTTCTGAATTTTTCTTCTAATGATGCATTGTGAACTAGACAAACTTATTTTTTGGATTATTTAATGAGGTTTTGTGTCCACGACTTCCAAAATCTATCAGTACTATGTCTTTTGTGGCCGAGTATTTGAAAATAGTTGTTGCGCTTCAGTTCTAGTTGCGCAATGAATGCAAAAGTTGTGCAAGCGGTCTATCTTGAATGGAACCCTCAATACTCGACTGCAGGCAATCTATGATTATAGATTGTCACATTACAAGCTGTCCATAAGCTTGTGACTTTGAGTTTCACATGGACTCGGATGCATAATGTTTTTTAAGGTCAATACGTGAATGCTATGAGGAACACAGGTTAGAAGAATGATGGCAGCTGTACGAAGTGATGAGAACCATCCGGGAGTAAACTGATTCAAGTTATTCATCATCCGGTTTGTTTTTGTTCTAATCGAACACTCTTTGAGAGTTTGAGTAATTTTCTGCAGATTGCTGGTGCAATCTTACAAGGTTGTTTTAAATGATCAAATATCACTGCAATTGTTAAATCCGAAATACACATGATTGTCGCCTAATTTCCGCACAAAATGAGGATTTCTGTCCTGAACCCAAGTTACCACTAGAAGAATTAGCAATTCATTTGAAGTGAAATCGATAAAAAGAAGTTGCAGATGATCCACAATCTCCCATCCCGTATTCACCTCATATGACTTTGTGCGAAGCAACAAAGAAAAATGAAAGCACTAAACAAACGAATCAACTAACTAGCTACTCACTGTGCATATGAAATTTCCATGCTTCATTTGCAATATCTACTGACTTTTGGTGCCTCAAAAGATCATGGAAGTGAAAACGGATGGCTCAGTGATGATAGTGTTCAAGCTGGACAGGGGCACCGCATTGTTTATCGTGTGTTTCAATCCAACAACCACATCGTCCCATTTCTCCATACGTTAATTTTATTTATCAGATTGACTACGTCCTCCACCCACCTCACCCCAGATTGGTTGTGCACTGAAACATTCTTTTTCTTAGTATTATTTCAAGAAAACGGGGTTCGAATTCGACCATAGCTGTTGAGATTATTTGGTTATATATAAGAGATGGATCACTCGGATACGTTTTTCAACAGGACAGTGAAGTTGACTGTCGCTTTTAGCCCGACTAAAAAAAAACAAACAATTTTTTCACCACAGGTGATTGAGAATGCAACGCAGCACAAAGCCTAGATCAGGTCTTTATTGGACTTGATTCTAATCATGATGCTGTTATCTACGCTATTGACTTCATGCTAAAGATTACAGCTTCGTCTAAGACGAAGGAGAACTCATCTTAACTGGGCTAGCATGCTTACATAAAATGTAACCGAGTGTCCCTATAAAAGCTCTGGTCTCGAATGAAATTCTGGCATTTGGTTTCAGTATTGCGCTTAGAGTGCGATTTAACCAGTGTGTTTTTAACGGGGCCAGTTCAAAAGCATCATGCGGTGCCTTTGCGAGTGAATTCATGTATCGCAGAACTGTTTATCTATCCAGAATACATGTAGTTTTCTTCAACACGTTGGTTCAATTCGCTCGTTGTATCATGTACAGATTCCCGTAGAAATATCCTGTTAGTATGCTTCTTAGCGTCACTGTTGTAACATTAGGATAGACGAGAAGACAGCACTAGCGTACACCGTGAACCAACGATACGTGCGGAAGTACTGACCGCAAATAGAAACCGTAATGACCCAGCGACGGAGTGAACAGTACACGAATACGCCCAACTGCGGTACCCAGCGCCATGCTCAAGCGAAACGGAAGAAAGCTCCGCGACAATAGTTTGATCCCCGAACTTGACCAGGGAGAAGGGGGAATACAGGCCTTCAGACGAGGTTGTATATTTGACTGGAACCAAAAGGCGAAGTTTTTGGGTAATTACAGGTCAGCAATTACCTTGGAAATTAACGTAAACGTACACAGTCATGAAGGACCGGACCAATTAGGATCGAATATGGCCGATGATGTGGCGGTTTTTCCGGCGCCGAGATTCGGAAATTCAAATTATTTAAAAAAATTCAGGAAAATAAGGAAAAATAGGGGAAGGGGAAATAGTCACTCTTATACAGAAAGATAATCCTTCCCCCATCAGTAACTTACATCTATCAACATTCTAGTTTTACGTTACAGTTCATAATTTGAAACAATACTCGAACGATTTTCTTAAATTGTATTGTAAGTCCTGCAGCAAGCGGTTATACTGATTGATGTGGCGATATTTTGCTTCTTCTACTGCGAGAACCGTGACTGTAGTAGCGTGTATACGTTTTATCGGGACTTGGATGCCAGTGCGTGTTAGTCGTGAACCACAAAATTGCGGCAGCTCTGAGTAGATCCACGTCATCGGTAGGAAATCAAAGTCACAATTAATTGCGCGTATTGTGCGACCATTGATATTGAGTTGACCGACTAAGCAAAAGAGTTGTTTAAACAAACCGCAATCAAGTGTTAGCCGTTGTACACTCGGTAGGTTGGAAATGTAAATTATGCATCTTAGTTTAAAAACCTGAAGCAGTTGAGCGCAGCTTCAGTGTCCGCCATCATACGGGTGTTACGTTTCATAATAAATCACTAGAGGACTATTCTGGTAGGCGCTTACACTGAAACACATTAGACGGAAGTAAATGATGTTTTTGTGGTTGACTCGAGAAAGAGTCATCCACTCGAATAGCACGAAATCCCCTAATGGTTGGAGTTGATTTCAGAAGCCATTATCCCGACACCAGAAAGACTGTGAGTATCACAGCCCAGGTGCTACGCGTGTGAAGAAGAAAGAGGTGCAAGCACAAAACCGGGATAGCTGGAACGGGATTGTATTTGCATGATTTGGAATCAATATTGCCATTATTAAATTTCACACGAGTCCGAATCCAGACTACGTGCCAAATTTATCACGGCAAAACGAAAAAATGATTTCTTCGTGACGTGTGTGGGACAAAACAAGTGAATCCTCGTTAGGATTCTCAACTGGAGTTTGCAGTTAGTCGAAGACTGACTCACTAGGTGGTGGTGCGCAGGGTGAAACTCGCGGTGAGAACGAAACTGGAGTTTAGTGCTTCCTCGTGTGTATTACTGATTGAATGAAATTTCATTGAGGGATAATCAAAAACACTGAACGGATTGTCAGTTGCACGATATTTAAGTCTAAGTAAGGAATCTGAAAAAAGCTAGAACATTTCTATTTGGGCATATCCATGTTAACAAAAGTGATTTCATTTTTGAAATATAAACGAACCATTTGAAATTTGTTTTCAAAATGTAATGTACAGACCGTTATCCGCAGGTTGCCAGCCTTAAGCCATCTTAATTTGGCAAATTGCACTGGAAAGCTTACTGGAGTTTATCTTTTCTTTGTTTGAACTAGATAGATTGGTCGAAATATTTCCTAACGGTGCTCAGATTCCACCAATAACTTTTCAGTTGAATTTACTCGCGCTGCGAACAGGACTCAAAAGAAAACAACTCAATTATTTCGTAAAAACTGACATATATTCAAACAAAGGCAATGTTTTGACCTATAATAAATCCAAAATGTGTAGAATTTGGCTACCTTCAGGTATCCATTACGACCTTTTTACTTAGCTACGTAGCTTTAGAACTTTAGTTATTGAGGATTCATGTTTAACTGATCTCTATCATCCCAACTGAGCTAGACAGTTTGATTGGTAAAAACAAGCTCCAAAAGACCCCGTCCCTAATGGTAGTTAATTTTTCCCACTGCTACCACAGTGAGTGTCAGTGGTTTTCTCTAATTTCGGAGACAAATTAATTTTTGTTTAACATTTTGACCCGTTTTCCCTAAAATTTTCATGATTTGATAAACAAACTAGTCGGTAAGCGAAAAATAGAGCGCTAGATCTAAACTTTTCTATTCCCGTCACAAACCTAACGAATCTTTACTACTCTGTACACATAATGACCAGTTTATTTTTAGCGGTACTATCCATCATCAGATGAACGGAGTTGCCATCGAACTGGACTGTTTAGGGGCAAGCACACTACAGTAGATGATATCTTCTGTGTGACCGATTAGGAAAACAGTCTAACACAGATGCTGGAATCGTTTAATAAAGGACATCAATCACTAGACTTCACGGTACAGTTTGAAACAGACAACACATTGGCATTTTTGAATGTAATTGTATCCATCAGAGCATATGGATCAGTGAAGAGATATATCCGTCGAAAGAAACTATATAATGTTCAATATACCAAATTCACTAATGAAGTACGAACGTAATATAGTGCAGTGTCTTGTCTTGAGAGCTTGGAAAATATTTTCGGCTGACACACTGGCTGAAAAAACACGACCTGGCACCAAAAGCTACAGGATAATCGTTATCCTGAAAATTCTATTAGTGACAATGTTCGGCTTACTCCGGAAAGCCCCGTCTGTCTCTCCGAGAAGAAACATCCATAGCGATTTGGTTTAGTGGGTCTCACATACCAAAAATACATTGGAGTTAACAAGAGCATCCATAAATTCCCTTTCCTGAAGCCAAACTTAGTTCCGTGCATTCTATATC